TTATTATTATTATTATTATTATTATTATTATTATTATTATTATTATTATTATTATTATTATTATTATTATTATTATTATTATTATTATTATTATTATTATTATTATTATTATTATCACAAATTATTATTGTTATTAACACAAGATTATTATCATCATTATCAATACCATTAACATTTATTTGTTATTTCAGCTTACATTTACATATTTTGATAACTAAATTGTTCATTTCCCTGCAGGGTATCTTATCCTTTCATGCATTATCCATTCTTTCCCCATGATTAACCTTATAAATTTGTTGACCACTTCATCTTTCTTTTGTCCACAAAGGGAGAATTTCCCTTTGTCTTTCACTCTATTTACCTTTAATTTCTCTCTCTTATCTCTCTCTCTCTCTATCTCTCTTTCCCTCTCTTTCCTCTTTTCCAAATAAAATTTATTCCACATTTTTCATTTGACACTTACAAATACATCATCATAATTTACCACTCCTTCAGCTGTTGCTTCCTTTTCGCCTTTTTCAGTGGTACAATTTAGTGAGAAAGGAGAAATTAATGCCATTTTGAAATTGACCAAAACCATTTTGTCGTTTGATGACAGGTTGAGTAGTAATGATGGTGACAAATTCAATTCAACAGGATATTCTCCTCCTCTTCCATTCATGCATTCCCCGCGTTTTCCCGATAAGTTATGTTTATTGGATAGATCAATTGAACCATTCAGTTCAATCAATTCAATTATTATTCCCTTTCCCGTCTTCTCTCTCCCTCTCTCTCTCTCTCTCCGTCTTCTCTCTCCCTCTCTCTTTCTCTCTCTCTTTCTCCCGTTACCTTGTCCTCTAATAAACCGTTAATTATTTAATCTTTTGCACTTTTTCTTTTTCCTTTGAAACTTTTTCAAAAAACTTTTTTATAAATTTGATTTTATTAATTAATTAATTAGTCAATAGTAGTAATAATAATAATAATAGTTGCTTCGTTTGTTTGTTTGTTTATTTGTTTATTTTTCCTTCCAATTAATTATTAATTAAATCATGAAACAAACAATGATATCAGTTAACTAACTTTTCAATTGAATTGGTCAATAAGTTTATTTTTCTTAATTGCAATCAGCTAATTAGTGACGATATTGATTGATTTTGTTTTAATTAAATTTAAACAATTTTTAATTTGCATTAATTTTGACCCATTCAAAATGTTAGGTATAATTATCGTTCATTTTAATTCATTCATGTAATTGCATCAGATATTATTTGTAACATTTCAATCTTTTACGAGAGATTTATCAATTAACCTCAATTAAGTAAATTAATTTTATTTCATCCAAATTGGCATTAGTTCATTATAATTTTCCAACCAACAATTAATTTGTTTCATTTTAATTGAAAAAGTAGTAATTATTTCGATCGATCCAAATTTTTTCCCAGGTCAATTTAAATTCATTTCAAATTATTTAATTCATTATCTGGAATAGCTGATTCAATTCATTTCAATCCAATTCATGTTTAAATTCAAACGCAACAACAAAAATTTCCACTTAATTTGGTAAATGTTTACAAAATTTCATCCAGATGTAAATCAAATTTGCGGTCAATTAATCGACAATTTATTCCAATAAATTGCTCAATTCATTCAAAAATTCATTTCTTCCATAAATTTCCAGATTCATTAGTATGATATTTTTACCATCTCTCGATTGACTAAATATGTATGCTAATATGTCACATCCATTAACCAATTGTCAACCAATCTTAACTTATTCATTTATTTATTTATTTATTTTTTTTGTTGAACAAATCAAAGAAGTGGGACAAAAATTGATCAATTTAGTGTTACTCAGTGTAATGTGCCGTTCTAGAGAAGGTCAATTTTTGTTAGAAACGAAACGAACGAATGATAAGAAAAATGTTGAAATTTTTTTAAATAAAATTTTAAAAAAAAAAAGAAAAAAAAAAGGAAGAAGGAAAAGAAATAAAAATTATATTGCTGAAAAGAAATTAATAATAAAAATATGAAATTAATTATAAATCGATTTAATGTATTAAATTAGTAAAGAATAAATGTAACTAATAAGAAATATATGAATTAATGTGAAATGTAGGAAATTTTTAAACATTATATAGAATTCATAATAATATATTAAAAAATATTATTAAAAAATTTATTAAAAAATGGAATTTATAATAAATTTGTATTGAATTAATAAATGATTTTGTTAGTAATGAATATACGAGGAATGTATATTTAATTACATGTATATTAAGTGTTTAATTAAATTTTTTGCTTCTATTTCACTTCTTTTTTTCCATGTATTCTAATTAATTTTTGATAACATACAATAATGTCATAATGATTTATTAAAATATATAAATTGATATATTAGTTCGTAGTGAAACTTAGAATATAAAAACTCAAAAACATTTTGATCGCCCCCTTTTTCAATCGAGCAATTCATTCGATTCCATTCATTTCATTTCATTTCATTTCCAAGCAGTTTCTTTTTTTTTCTTTTTTTTTGCTCATCCAAAAAGCTTTTTACTTTATCATTTATAGCTAACGCGTAAAATACGTGTAATGTTTGTTCATAATTCCCTGAAATCATGTCATTTTCACGTATGTAAACCAATAAACTACGTCAAAATGTTGCGAAGATTTTTTCCCCAATACAATCTTGCTTTACTGAGATTGTAATAACAGTAATTATTATTATTATGATTATAATTCTGATTCTAACGATGATGATAATAATAATGACGATTATGATGATGATAATGATGACGATGGTGATGGGATTGTGATGATGATGATGATGATGATAATGGTGATGATGGTGATAATGATGATAACGATGATAATGATAATGATGATGATTGATTGATTGATGATGATGATGACTGATTGATGATGATGATGATGATTGTAGTTAATAAGGCATCGGTTAAAGTTGTTTGTTTATAAACGAATCTTAATTTAACTGATGATAATTAATGTCTCCTTTCATGTCTTGCTATTGCTAATTGTCATTAAATTTTTCGCTTCTTGTAAGTTTCTAACATAATCTTCAGCCTTTATTACAGAAGAAAAAAAGAGAGAAATACCTGTCATATTCATTGATTAAGTTCAAAAGTTAACAAATATATTAATCATCTGTAATTGGTAATTAAATTAAAAAGTCACGTAATTAACTCCATTAAATAAGAGTTAAAAAATGGGAAAAAATGAAGGAAAAATTAAAAGAAAAAATGGAAAAATATTTTATTTACAAATGGAATGATCGATAATTAATTTAGGAATTTAAATTATTTGTGGTAAAATTTGTTTCAGTTCATCAAATTTTTAAACGGTCGATTTTTTTTTGTTTCTTTTGCAATTTTTATGCACCTACTTGTATTTACGTATATTACTTACATTTACGTAGATCCGTATGGAAGGTCATTTTCAATTTATATTTAGCAAAAGGTCACGCTAATTTACACAATCAACGTTACTGTATATGACGAAACGTTACCTTAGTTGTATTACCTGTTCACTATATAACTTTGTCCTTTTTTTCAGAAAGATTAAATTTGAAAGATAAAATTGAATTTAAAAATAAATCAATTGTAGGGACGAATAAAGCCGCACTACTTTTAATTTGTCTTTTTTTCGGACAAATTAAATTTAGAAAACAAAATTGAATTTAAAAATAAAAATTTAAAAATGGATTGATCTTAGGACGATTAAAGCTAATTTTGTTGCACATTTTTTTAAATTGTCATTTTTTTATCAGACAAATTGAATTTAAATGACAAAATTGAATTTAAAAATACGCCTGTCGTGAGAATGACCAAGGCCAAACTATTTTTTAACTTGCCTTTTTTTTTCAGAGGAAATTGAATTTAAAAATAAACCCATTGTAAAAATGTATAGAGCTGCACAAAAATTTAAAGATGGATTGATCTTAGGACAGATTCAAGCGAGTTTTGTCGCACATTTTTTTAAATTGTCTTTTTTTAACTTATGCTTTTTTAGAGAAATAAAATTTAAAAATAAACCTATTGTAAAGATAAGCTTAAGGGAATTTTGCTGCATACTTGTCACCTAAATTAGATAAGTTGTTCTTTTTTTACAAAAATATTCTCATATCAAATCAAAAATTATTTATTCATATTAATAAAACGAACTGAAAAATGAAATAATCAGATATTTATTTCGAAGCTAAAATAATAAATTTCAGGTAATTATATCAGAATTTATTTGCTTTGTTTATTTATTATTTATTTGTTTGTTTTTTTTTAATGTTTATTTATTTTATTTTTTGAAGTGATAAAATTAAAAAAAAGTTTTTCACATCAAAAATGAATACAAATAGTATTGCATAACTGAATATTATGCTTAAATAACTAATCACTGAAACAGAAAAGAAAATAAGCTAACTTAAAGTAAACTTATACTTACGTGAAGATAGGTATAAAAGTTATTCAACTTCATCATTCAGTAGAAAATCGAATAAATTTTATCTGGAAATTGTAAAATAAATCAATTATCATCGAAATAACGTACTGGAAATGTATTTTCTATGCAAATAAGCATTGAATAAAGTCTAATTACTTACCAAATAAGCATTTAAACGATGGACAAAAAAAAATATTTTAATTGGTTTATAATTGTAATTTAATAATTTTTTTTAAAAAAAAAAGACCTTCAATATGCAAAAAATTAAAGGAAGAAAAAGTATACTTAAGAGATGAATCAGTAAGTTTATACGTTCACGTAAATTAACAGGTACTTAATATAAATTAACCAGTTGTTATTTCTAGTACTGTTATTTGTATTGAAATAGACAATTTCTAAATGACGAAGAAAAAAAAATGATGAAAAATGATGAAATTTTACCAGATCAGATTAGCACATTTCCACTTTTTTAAACTAGCTAGTTTGTACTAATTGAATTAAACCTAAATTGTTTAGTAACATTAATTCCTTTCTTGTAAACAATTAGTTTAAAACTGGAAATTTTTAATTCTAGTTCTAATCTTTTTTCAAAAAATAGAATTTCACATCGAGAGATTTTGAATCAAAAATAAAATATTATTTGACAAAATTAATCCTAAGGATATCTTAGTCTACGTCAGAGTTTTTTATAGTAGATTAAGGCTAGTTATAAAATAGTATCAAATTTGTTTATTACTAATTAATGGAACATGAATGATCCTCTTCCTTTTGAGTTGGATAAATTTTATTTTAATGAATTTTTTTGAAAAGTTTGGATAAATTTTATTTTAATGAATTTTGAAAATTTGATGAAAACATTGCTAACATTCAAATTAATCCCTTAACATAATCGAGAACGAGACCGGATTAAACAATATTCCAGTTTCATTAATCAAATCATTGGCACCTTTTTTTAATGATTAAACACGATATTTTGTGAAAAGAAAGTAAACACAAACATTAAACTATTTTGATTAGGTATTTATTCATTTTCTTT